AGTACTCTGGAATACAAAGTAGCTAAAAGCCTAAAACACTTGTAACCTGTTTTAAGTTTAATAAATAAAACTACTTTTCCAATCAAAAAAATTACTGTCAAATTTAGGCTGAAATACAGAAAGAAAAGGCATTTGCTTCAAATAGCAGCAGCAAACTTGTGTAGATTAATATTTAGATGCCTAGACCTTAATAAAATTGAAAGAAAGAAAAGAGATGGTTTCCATCAAAACATGAGAGACGTAGAGATAATTTTCTTTGCAAAACCAACAGAAAACAGGGCTATAAGAAAATTTATTGATAAAACATAACTACTTATCCATGGATTGAGATAAATGAGATGCTCAAAAAGAATTAGCAACAGTCAACAATAGAAGAGCTTTTGGTTTATAGCTTTGCATTCTCTTGTAATGTGTCTACTGGAAATTCATACTGACTCCTTTTAAAGCAAAATGGATGGAAACACATTTAGAAAAGTTATTCTAACACTATAGGTTGGGCTAGATAAAGTGCCGTTGCTAAAGAAACATGTAGGTATTACCTGCTCCTTCCAAATCAGCAGTTATAGTGCCAAGCTTTACTGCAAGGGGGTAATTAGTTTCTTTGTAGTGTTCAATAGCATGGTTGTTTCCACCACTACCATCCCAATTTCTCCTCCCACAAAGGATCATCCCATCAGTTAGATTCAACCATAGGTTTTCAGTCTTGTCACACTTAGCACATTTCCACCCAGATGGAGGGACAATGACCCCATTGTCAATCTGTTGAAAGATTCATGGCATAAGCACTGACTTGCTTCTTATCAGCTGTCCATGCTGCTACTTGCTCTTTTCGCTCAGCACTTTCAGCCATTAAGATAACATCAACTGCCACTATGACCTGCAATTTCGAAGCATAGGCATGTCTTGGCAATTACAACCAAACATATTCTCTTTTGATATAATAAATAATGAGAAACTACAATTACCTTTTCTGGCAACTCTACGGAAGGAAACGAAAGCTAGACAATTTCTGGCAATATGACAATGTTATGGGATTCTTCATATTCAGGTTCATGGTTGTCGAAACCACCCTCCATACCTGCAAATAAAACAGAATAATGTAGAGAAGGGTGTTGTTTTTCATAGTCGAGACATAGCTTCCACCGATAAACAAGAATTCATCCATGGCTTGAATAAAGAGAAGGAAAAATAATAAATGTATGTTTGTGTGCAAATAGCTTATTTGATAGCAATCCAACTCCACCATTAGAATGCATTTGGTTTCTACCAGAAGTTTCAAACAATTCGAATGATAGTACGGTAACGGCAAGGAAATAATAAGCCTACAAGATATATATTTATGACAGACAGTTTCTAAATGCTATAAACCTCATCCATTTTTAAATATATGCATAGACGTGTACAGAATTAAATATATACCGATTGCCAGAAGAGTCGGTTTCTTGAGGGGCCTATCTTCAGGTACCGGTTTTTTCGTCTGCTTTATGTGGTACTTGACCTCTTGCTCAAACCCCCACAGTTGGACTCAAGAGAACTACCGCAGAGCCCGTTGTTGCCGTCGAAGCCAGCAGCATCGAAATCGAAAAAGAAGGAGGGAATCGTACCAGAGAGATGGTTATTAGCAACCGAGAACTTCTTGAGACGAGTAAGACGGGAGAGTTCATAAGGGATTGAATCGGAGAGACGATTGTTGGCAAGTTTAAGACTATTGAGAAGCTTGCAATCGACGAGCTCAAGAGATGGAGGCGAAAATCATGGCAGAGAGGAGGATGAGAAACAGCTGGGATCGATCTCTCGATCTCACCATGGCGAAAGCGAGTCCTCGTCCTCGAGCAGTTCAGGTTGGGGCTAGGGTTTCAATATGGCAGTGTTGATGATGGCGAGTAGTCGAAGAGCAGAAGTAGCGGCGAATTGACTTCAGTTTTGAAATCAGTAGAGAGAGAACGCGGGGTGAGGACTAAGGAGAGAAGTGGAGAAATAGTGACACGCGCTATGCATGCAAAATGGAGGGAGAGAGACTTGTCTTTCATGCATTGTTTACACGTGGAAATCATTGATATAATACTATTGTTTTGCGAAAGAGGAATGGGCAAATACATTCCTTTCGCTTTAAATATATATAAGATAAGATTTTTATGATTGAAATAGTTTTTACCTTATTTATTTAATAAATAAAAAGAATATGAATAAATACATTTACCTGATAAATATTTCCAAGAAAATTTTATTCGAATAATTAATTTACCGAAAAATGAACGAGACTTAAAAGGCAAAAGACATTATCAGTCCATGAATGGTTTTCGTCCTTTTGTTTGAGAATGCAAGGAGACAGAGGGTGGAAATTTGCAAAAATGTGTTTACATATGACATAACCCTTTCTGAAATTAGGGTGATTCCTTCGGGGTTTAATATAACCCAAATAAGATGGATCAATGGGAACCCATTAAAGTTGATCCATGATTTATATGGTCCCATGTGGTTACCACATTAACTCGTACTACTTTTATTACTTAGATCCACCAATTCCGACCCATCAATTTCATAAAGGATGGATTGTTGTAATTCTTATTTTTCTGCTAACGACATTTTTTTACTACTTTTATTACTTAGATCCACCAATTATTCAGACCCATCAATTTTATTATCATTTTAGTATTTTCTGTTAATATTTTATTATCATTTTTTGGGCCTTGAATTAAAATTTTAACACTTTAAAATTAAATTTAATATTTATTAATTCTGAATCAATTTCAAATCCATTAAAAATATTTGCATTAATAAATTTTAAAATTAATTACTTAATAAGAAAATAGCATCTATTTTAAAATAAAAAATTCATTAATTATTAATTTTAAAATTAAATATTAAATATTTTAAAAATAAATTAATCATTTTAATTTTGAATTCCATTTAAAAAAAGTATATACATTTTAAAAATAATTAAATTAAGATTAATTTCTTATTTTAATTGAATTTAATTAAAATAAAAATCTTACATTTGATTAAAATTTTATTAGCTTTTATAAATTTTTCAGTTAAGTTAAAATCAATTTCATTTAGTAAAACCCATACACCACACGAGGCCCTCTTAGCTAATATATATATTATTTAGAAAAAATGTATGCTACTAAAAAAAACATGATACCAAAAGAGCTTTGACCAATCAACTTGTGCTGGTGAAATTTGATAAATATCACATGTCGTTGATTGTTCCAGTGCATGAATGGTAAACCCATCTGGTCTTAACCAACTAATCTTTGAATATATTAAGCTAAACTAGTGGGGCCCCGTGCGATGCATGGGATCACTCCCTGTCCCTCACCCCCGTTGTCAGGACATTCTACCCCATCCCCACCCCATCGCTGGTGGTGGGGCAGGTTCAAGGTGAGGCACCCATTCCCTGTTAGGGATGGGGAATCCCCAAATTTTCCCCACTTGAGGCAACCACCTAAAAATAATCTAATTTAATTTATTGATATTTTAACAAATAGGAATATGAGAATTTGGGGGTATTTTAGGATTAGATTATGACAATTTAAGGGTATTTTATAAATGCCATTGTAGGATCCTAGGATTATAAGAATATGAGGAAAAATTAGAGATATTTTAAAAAATCAATATTGAATCTATTGATATTTACTAATTTACCATCGGGTTTGGGGAATGATATGCAAACCCCGTCCTTGATTTGGAGCAAAAATATTTTCCCCGTCCCACTTTGTTTCTTCCCATCACTATTTAAAATTTTAGAAAACTTACCCCATTAGGGGTTTGCATACAATTAATTTAATTTTTTAATTAAGCTTTAGGTTTTTCAGATTTTTAATTAATTTTTTATGTTTTTCATTAATTTTTGCATATGAGTATTTTTCAATAACTTTCTGTATTTTCATCATTTTTTTTTTTTGCATATTAGTCACTACAAAATTAATTTGCGTTTGCTTTCAGTAAAAATAAATACCATAGTTAATAAAAAATACAAGTAATTTTCAATATTTTTCAATAATTTCTGACTTGGGTATTATTTTAATAACCATCCAAGCCATAAATAGGTTGAGGTAAAAAATTCATAATAGTAAATTGATATTTATATTGAATATCCGTCCAATTTAATATGAATAAATTGTTTAACCATTAATTTATATTAACTTTAATATAAAATATTATTAATTTTCAGTATTTTTTAATTATCTATAGTAGAATTATTTATAAATAAGGTATAAACACATGAAAAATGCACATTTTAATAGATATATGAAAAGAAGCATTACAATTAACAATACCAAGACTCTAGAACGCGTACACATCTCACAATAATTATCACTCTATTTCAATTTTCAATTTTTATTAATTTTTAAAATTTTTTATTTATTTAGTATTTTTATATAAACAATAACTCGATTTTTCAAATAATAAATATGATTTTATTTTTAACATATAATTTATATGTGAAATAAAATATATAAATACTTTAAGATAGATAAAATAGATCATTTTTATAATTTTTAGCTTTTATTAAATTTCTAGAGAAAATTAAATCTTAAATGGATGTTAATATAGATGCTGTTGGCCAAATGAGAAATAAGCCCCCCAGAGTCCCACGTATAGATTATGGCTTGGTTTAATAACTGTTCTAGTGCGCGTGTTTGGTTCTAAGTTCTAACCAAGTTGTCCAACCATGAACCATATCATCCATCAGATTTGACATTTAAAAAACAAAAAAATTAAGAGTTGGTAAAACTGGAATTTGAACAGGTTGCATCAGCATCATACCACATGGGCATTAGATTCTAGAACTCATCAGTTATCTATCCGTTTATCCATAATGGAATCAGATCGGATTTAAAAATGATACTAGACCCGACTAATTAATTAATTTTACAGATTTATATACCAAATGATGCTTGGATCCCTGGTGGTCAGTTACAGGTCTAAATATTGAGGATGTGACGATTAATTAATTTTATAGATTTTATAGATTTATTTCCACAGAGAGGATGTGACGATTACAGATACCAAATATTGAGATTTTCTTTGGACCACAGAAGGTTTTCCAGTTACAGGTTTAAAGTTCTAATTACCTACCAGATATGATATATGCATGACAACTCCAAACTGACGCCATTGCTGCAGTCACTAGACAAAATCCTCCCCGCTCTTCCTTCCTCAAGAAAGAGACCCCTATACAGAACTTTTGTGAACCTCTTCTCATGTAGTGTTGTTCTATTCAACACTCATGAGAATAAAAGGGAATGGAAAACCAGTTTACACTTTAACATCAGGAAGTAGCTAGCCATGAAGAAGAGAGTTGGTTCGCTCTCAGACAATCAGCTAAGCATTGTTGGGTGCCCAGTCTGGAGCATCCTCTTGAACATGTCCATGCCAAATGTAGAATCTGATGAACTGTTCAAAGCAGCACCCATGAAAACGTCAGTAGCCAATCAATAGTTGAGAACTTAAGATCAATTAAAATTTATACAATGACAAGAAAATAGGAAAGTGGAATATATTAAAGGAGCTAAGATGAAGTATACATATTCTTCTAATGCTTCAGTGGTTTCAATGAGGACTAAACTTATGGCCATAATGCTATTTAGTATTTAATCAATTGAGCCACATGCTTGTGCCCAAGTCCCACAAATTGTCATAACGTGTGTAGGAAATAAGCTCCATTTTCTCAAGGATGATCATGTTGGAAAGTGTCTATAGAATTTGAAGGGTAACAACAAGATTGGCAAAATTATGTTGAACGTCTTTCCTTTTGCTATTATTTACTTAATTTAGCTTGAAAGAAATGCATGTGGTTTTTTAATCATGCCTTCACTAAGAAAGGGTATATGGTGCTTTCATGGCTATCAATAGCCAGATTCACATGCTTTACAGACTTACAATAGCCAGATTTACATGGGTGGGTACCATATCATGTCCAGCACAACAATATGAAGTAGAAATTTCATGATTTGCACCTTGTTCAGTCCTGACCTTGCCAAATCTGGGTCACATGGTTTATAGCTAGTCATCCTTGTCTTTTGTTCTGGGCAGCACAGAGGCCCTGTTGTGAACCTTCTTATTGTACATAGGAGTTATTTTATATTAGTTTTAATAGTTTTGAGTGAAATACCATCTCTAGTTCACCGCTTTAGAAAAAGGTGGGGGCACGAGGAAGATTGGCAGTTTTGGAGACCATGCCATGCTCACATTTCCAACTTTTCTACAAAAACAAACTTATAAGTTTACCAAATTGATGTGTTGTATACTTCCTAGCAATGTGCTAATGTCCACATTAATGGTATTGCATAGAACACAGTAGAGTTCCCAAATATACATCTCACAAAAGACATGGAGATGATGAGTGAAAAAGGTGCCATGAAGGTCTGACTTCATAGAAATTCCAAACAACTGTGAGATCACTATGCCCAAGAAAACCCATTCCAAGCTTTTAGAAGCATTACCTATTCCTCAAAAAATTCAGATCTGAAGCCACTCAATACAACAGTAAAAGCTAATGACAAAAGAGAGCACAACCAGAACCCAAAATATGGAGCTTCAAGAGTTTTAGTGCCTAGGAGTGTGCCCTCTTTTGGTATATGGAAAGGCATTTTGAAGCTCATAATAACTTTCATCCTCGCTTGGGCATTTCGGCTTTAATGTTTCTGGGAAGATGAATGGACCCGGTAGGCTATGTTATTTATACATGAACAATCAGCTGTACTAAATATATCTATTGTATCCATTTCTCTAAGCATACTAGGATCTCTCTAATCGGGTTTAATAGGTGAGCTAGTCACTGTGGCCACTGGCCACTCTGACAATATTGGATGGGATTTGCCTAGTCACCCTCAATAGCCGATGATGAAAGATGCAACTGCTTGATAATTCAGATGCCAGATAATCCTAAAAGATACCATTTTCCCTAGCCAAGACACCTCCTGTCCTTGCTAACACCCCAGGGTCTCTTTTTTTTTTTTTGGAAAAGGAAAAGTAATATTTATTGAGAAAGAAATACACACCAGAGGCTGAGATCAGTCCCTGAACAGGCAGACTGATCTATTCAGAAATTACATATGCCATTAAGACAAATAAAAAATACATCTGACACATTACAGTTTCTAAAATCTTCCGTCACAGACAACCAAGAAATCAGCTTGCCCACTAACTTCTGAGTTAAGTCCTCCAGACTTAGAAACTTATTACTGAACACCCTTCTATTCCTCTCGGTCCAGATACACCAAATTACAGCACTTGGAATCATCTTCCATAAAGTATTCTTTTTCTTGCTCAAGCCCACAATATGCCAGCCACATAACAGCTCTTTTACCGACCTCGGCATCACCCAACAAGCATTCAAGGAGCTGAGGAAGTGGTTCCACAGCTGAGCAGAGAATGGCCAGTGAATACACAAATGATCAGTAGATTCAGCACTGCACCCACAAAAGCTGCAAGATAGGTCCGAAATCTGAATTCCCCTGCTCACAAGGTTCTCCTTGGAAGGGCATTTGTTAAGAGCCATAGTCCAAACCAGGAAACTGGCTTTAGTCAGACTAATGGGATTCCACACTTGCTGAACTGGGAAATCAGGAACACCCCTCCTACAAAGCATAGCAGCCAAAGATTTAACTGAAAACATCCCATCAGAATTCCACTTCCAAAGCCACTTATCCTCCGAGCTATAATCCAACTCTTGAAACTGGAGACAGGTCAGGAGATTCACTACCTCATCCACCTCCCAATCAAAGAGACCTCCACCAAGCATCAGATTCTACAGCAAATCTCCAAATCCATTTACATAGAAGGGCAGAGTTAAATTGTTTCAGCTTCCTTATACCTAGCCCCAGGGTCCCTTTTTAGCACCCATCAAGTTGAGGTTTGACCAATCTCACATTTGGGAGTTTGGAAATTGTTCTAGACATTCTACAGGAGACTATTGGAGGAGACAACTAGTTTTATCTCAAGTAGTTTGACTAATCTTTCCACACCTGGGGGTTTGGAAACTCTTCCAGACAATCTACAGGAGAATATTGGAGGAAAAAACTAGTTTTATCTCAAGTCAGTACTCAGTAGATGAAATGCTTCTATACTCATCAATATAGAGCATTGAGAAACCAGTGCCCCCAAGGGTGGAAGCTTTTACCTGGCTAATAGCCAGAGGGTGCTTATTAACTCAGGACATCCTAAATAGTAGAGGAAATCAATTTCCAAGCAGATGCGCTCTATGCTTGTCTGGTAAGGAAAACATTTTTCATCTGTTCTACCATTGCAGCTTCATATTCCCAATATGATCCTACTTCTTGAAGCTGTTTAAAGTGGATTTGTGGTCAATTTCAGATCAGTCTGAAATCTTTGGTTGCTGGCCAAGAATTCAAGGTGGTACTAAGGTCAAAATGCTGTGGAGTTGCATTCCATTGTCTTTGTGTTGGGAAGTATGGAAGGAAAGTAAACAGAAGAATTTTCGAGAATAAGAAGAAAAGTGTCAAAGAGGTGGTGGCACGGATCAGCTCTTCAGTGATTGGTTGGGTGTTGATACTGCCAGAATTTCAAGGCTTAAAAAAAGAAGACTTCGGGGAAGATTTTTTCTGTTCTCTGAATTTAAAAATTCTCGGTGTTTCTGTATTGTTTGCTTTGAAGTTTGCCTTGTTTTTGTATTGTTACAGTGGGGGTGACCTCTTGTCACCATATTTAAGTTGTAATCTTTTATTTTAGCAATAAAATCTTTTCTTTATTTATCTTCAAAAAAATAATAATCAGCATTTGAGAACTGAAATAGCACTCAGTCTCTTAGAGCATTGAAAATTCCTGCATCAAGGATGTTTTGGAAGGAACGTTGAGGATCATTCATGTCTATGCTCCTTCTTCCCAACCTCAGTGAAGATCTTTCTATTAGTCTTCTTCGTTAAGATTTTTATAATTGATCATTCATTTATATGGCACATTTATCCTCACAGATGTATCATGTGTCAAGATAATTTAGGATAGTTCATCTTCTTCTGCAACCCTAGGTGGCATCTAGAGCTTGGATTATTTTTTTTCCTTTTTCTTGTAATAGCAACTTAAGAAAATTTATTGGTGAAAATAAGAGCCATATACAAGTAAAGAGGGATGTTGGACCACTGACAACAACCAAAACACACACACAGAGAAGTGTCCCAAGAAAAAGACTAGAATTTGATTCTAACTGGAACAAGTTTAGGATGTAGAAAGCGATACAAATATCCTGTTTGGGGAAATCTCTTCCATTTGGTTCTTTTTGTACTTAATCCATTTGTTTGATGTAACATATATTATTTTTCATTTTGGTCAGTTATCAAAAAGAATGACATCGATTATCAAAAAATATTCTTCTCTATCAAAAAATTGATGGGGTCTTTGCTGCACAAGAGACACAGATGATGCCCATCATAAGTGAGTATGTTAAAGGTTAAGCTATTTCTGCTGCATAATATAAAAGATATAAATGAAGGTTAAGCTACTAGCCTACTACAACTTAAAACAGGCACCTTCAAGGTTAAAATAACTGAATAGAACTCAAATCCAATTAAGATAAGTTTGGAAACCCAAAAGACACCAACCTCGGGATTGTGATTTCATAGGGAAATGAGACACCCTCAACATTTGGAACAGGAGGAATATGATCTCTTTTCTCATTGACAAATTTTATGATTTGAAACAAAACTTCATGAAGAGATGTTTCCAAGGCTGCTTGTCGACCACTTTTCTCCTCCATCACACAATCTATAATGAATCAAAAGCAAAAACCCTATTAGTTACTGCATCACAAAAGAGTGTAAATATGAACGATCAATCAGATTGGTTTCAGAATGGTACGTGTACCTCCAGGACCTATGATCACTTCGGAATGATGAGACTTTCTACGATGTGCTTTTGGGTGTTTTGTGATATTCAAATTGATATACCATTGTTCCCAATACAGGCGTTCTGTTTTGTTAGTGAACCAAGTTGCCTTATTGTTTTTTACCTCATAGAAAGATAAACATACCTGCATTATAATTTTTAGTAGTTAAAGTATAAAAAATCATAATAAGTTGCTCATGAATTGCATAATCCAAATACTCAACGCCCACTTTCATTTGATGGTAAAATTTGGACAGTGGGTGGCATGTAGCCATATTTACCAGGGCAGAACCTAAAGCAAGAACTGATAAGTGATAATCAAGCCTCAGAAATCATTAGGGTTTAGAGAATTACAAGTGTATTGCTTGTTGGGACAAAAAAAAGGGGCTTGGTTGAAATGGGCGGAACAGCTGACAACCAATCCCAATTTCAAGCATTTTTTCCAGGTGGAATTAGAAGAGTTAGGGTTTGGTTGGATGGTAGGGAAGCCAAAACCAATCTCAAGCTCAAGATGCCACTTGTTAGCACAAAAGAGCTAAAGCTTGGTTAAAAGGGTTAAGGAGCGAAGTCCTTATACTGCTAGGGGTGAGCAAATGGGTCAGTTCTACCAAGAACCAATTGGACCTGACCTTGAAATGGCCTTAGTAAGGCCAGTTCCAATTGGTTCTCAGGTAGGGTCCAGTTCCAAATCCTTGGAATCAACCCCCCACCCAGGTTGCTTGGGTCTGGAGGTTTATCCTACCCTGACCAACCCAGAGAACTGATCTTGGTGGAACTGGCCTAGGTGTAATTTGAACTTAGCATATGGGTTTGAATGATGAATTATATATTATGTTATATTGTTTGGGTTAATTGTGGACTTTATTATATTTGCATTGAAATTGCATTTAACTAAATTGTGGAATGTCTGTGAAATTGGATTATAGATTACTAATGATTATGTGATATTATTTAGGTTGTTCATGGATTATGCTTTATTTTCTTTGAGATTGAATGACTAATATGGACTTGAAATGTGGAATGTTTATGTTAGATTATTATCCAAAGTCAAAGCTTTGAAAAGGAAAAAATTAAAAAAAAAAACAGCATATTGTTATTTAAAAAGGAAAAAAAAAAGGTTCCATGGGTAGACCTTGAAACTGCCTAGGCTAGAGAACCAACCTTAAAACCGATTTGACATGGTACATTCTGGTTACGAAAACCTGGAACCAACCCCTACAAGGTAGGTTGTTCCAAGTTCTGCCTTGGAACCGGACCAAACCAACCCTTGCTCACACCTAATACTTATCATCTCCCTTTTTCCATACATTTCAAGTTATAGTCATTTCCCTAACTAAAATTTACATTCCACATTGTTTCGAAAACATTTCCAAGCTACTCATACATTTCAAGTTATAGCCACTCTCTCTTTCTACATTTCATAATCATAATATCTTTCTCTCCTTTCCATAACCCCCATAGTCTGTAGAAGTCAAGGCTCTCTCCCCAATGAAATTTTACATTCCTGCTACATTTTCTCAATGCTTTCCTAGTTAATTTCTGTAGATTTCATTGGTATGCCACTTTCTATATTTCAAGTCATAGTTACTCTGTAGATTTCATGGGTGTAGTGACTCTACATGTCAAGTTTTAGTAAGAGAAACTAGCTCAATATTCCAATCATAGTCACTTTCACTCTACATTTCCCAGTCATAGTCTAATCCTTCTTTATATCTCAAGTTATACTTCTCTCTCAGATCAAAAATTAAATTTCCATATCATTTCCTAAGAACATGCACCTCAACCACTGCCATGACTAGAAGCAAAAAAGTTACACTAGTAGTGGCAATCGCAAAGTTATCATCAGTGGCTTTAAGACATCAAATTAAAAAATTGACTAACCCTGCCCAAAACTAAACAGTAGAGATATACTATACCAATCAAAAGCCAATACCTTAATGGTGAATTTGTTCCTTTTTTTCTTTTTTCTTTTTTCTTTTTCTTAGTTTTGAGTGGGTAATTGAATGTTGTTTTGATATTGATTTAAGCAATAGTATCATTCCCGTCAAAAGTGTTTCAGGACTTCCATAGAAATATTTCCCTGGAAAGGAGATAAGTGTGACTTTCATTTCTCTCATCCTGAAGCTAGAAGGGCAGTAAATCGAAAAGACTTCAGGCCAATCAACTTACTCTATAGTTTCTATAAAATCTTGGGTAAGGAGTTGGCGGAAAGGCTTAAAAATGTGCTAAGCAGTGTAGTGTCTGAAAACCAATGTGCTTTTGTTCTTAGGAGGCAGATGCTAGACAGTATGTTGGTGGCAAAAGAGTTGATTGATTTGAGGAGGAGAGAAAAAAGACCGGGCCTGATCTGTAAATTGGACTTAGAAAAAGCCTACAATCATGTTAATTGGAGTTGTTTGGATTTCACTCTGGAAAAAATGAACTTTGGGAAGAAGTGGATAAATTGGACCAAGGTCTATATCACTTCACCTAAATTTTCAATACTGGTAAATAGGGAATGAGCGGGCTTCTTCAAAAGTTCAAGGGGTCTCTTTCAGGGGGACCCCCTCTCTCCCCTCCTATTTATTTGCTTGATGGAGATTCAGACCCAACTCATCCTTCAAGTGGGGGAGGCTGGTTTGTGGGAGGGTTTCTTGGTGGTGCCAGGAGAAGAAAAATTCCAAGTATTGCAGTTTGTTGGTGATACTTTGTGTTTTATTGATTGTAAGGTGGATCAACTGGAAGTTCTCTTATGTGCTCTGCTGGCTTGAAGTAGTGGCTGGTCTGAAGGTGAATTGGAACAAAAGTCTTATCATCCCAGTGGGCAGTGTGGAGAATATTGATTCCTTGGCTGATGTGCTTGCTTGTCAAGTTGGTCACTTGCCTATGGTGTATCTGGGTCTGTCTTTAAGAGCTAAATGCACCTCTTCCTTGATTTGGGAACCTGTTTTGGAACGGTTAGAGAAGAAAATTTCCTCTTAAAAATCAAAGTATCTCTCCCTTGGAGGAAGAATTACACTCCTGATGAGTTCCTTGTCAAATCTCCCTTCTTATTTCCTTTCCCTTTTCCTAATCTCCCCGAAGGTGGCTCAAAGAATTGAGAAGTTGCAGAGGGACTTTCTTTGGAGAGGTTGAGAGGAGGATAAAAAAAAATCATTTGGTAAATTGGAATCAGGTCTGCCCTCCTAAAGACCATGGGGTCCTGGGGATTAGGAGGATAAAGGTTTTCAATCATGCCTTACTAGGCAAATGGATTTGGAGGTTCGGGACTGAGAGAGGCACTTGGTGGAGAAGGTTAATTTCTGCTAAATATAGCTTGGATAGGGGAGACTGGATAACTACTGATTCCCTCTCCTCTTTTGGCTGTTTGATTTGGTTGAAAATTATACCTTCTCCCTAGTTTTTTGCAGAGGAATCAAGTCAAGGGTTTGAAATGGTTGTAGGCTGACGTTCTGGAAGGATCCTTGGTGCTCTGACCATCCTTTAGCTGAGCTTTTCTTGCAGCTATTTCAGTTAGCTTTGAACCAGGCTTGGGTGGCAGACTGTTATGATGTCCTGGGGGGTAGTGTGGTCTGGAATCTTTTGTTTAGAAGGAACTTTCAGGACTGGGAGATGGAGAATTTTGTTCAGCTTCTTCAGTTGCTATCTGGTCAGGTTATAGACACTAGTGTGGAGGACTCTTAGATCTGGAATGGGACTGCTGATGGGCTGTTCTCTGTGAAGTCTTTTGCCTTTTCCCTGGCTGACTATACTCTTGATAAAGTCCCTGTGTCTAAGATTTGGAACCCTGTTTCCCCTTCTAAAGTTAACGCCTTAGTTTGGGCTGCAGCTCTAAATAGATGCCTCACTAAGGTGAATCTTGTTAGAGGGGGTTTGCATGTGCCAACCTGTTTGCTCTGTGGACAGGGGCTGGAAGATTCAGATCATCTCTTCTTGCATTGCCCTGTGACTTTTTGGCTATGGTGGCACTACCTCTCTGCAGTTGTGTTTCCTGGCTTTTGCCTAGTTCTCTCTTGGATCTTCTGTGGGGCTGGAGCCTTCCTGCTCTCTCAAAGTTAGCTCAGTGTGTCTGGCTATTCATCCCTGTTGAAGTGACAGCACTGTTTGGGCTGAAAGGAATGGAAGGGTGTCAAAGAGTCAAAGGGGGTGGAATTAGTGTCCCTTTCTTTTGGAAAGCTGGTGTCTTTGGTTGCAGCTGCTAAAGGCTTTCAGCCAAACATTCTGGGCTCCCTGCTAAGAGCTAGAAGCTTGTAGAAGTTGTAAGTATTATCGCCTTTTTGCCTGGATGGGAGCTTGTCTCTAGGGGGCTTGTTGTATCTTGATTAAAGAGAAATCAAATAAATTACTTTACTTTCTTCAAAAAAGAAATTATTAGTTTTTTCATGTGGTTCTTCTTATGTTATGATAATGACAGAACCAACTACTACTTGTGTCAAAACATATAGAAACCCAGAGATTTGCATAAAGAGCAGGCTCCACAAGAAGTTCTAACTGAAAGGCAGCAGCACTATGTTAACCTGACTTTTCTTGTTTGGGTGTTTCTCTACCCAAAATATGAACAGGTCAATCTTCTCCTCTATTTTCTTTTCAAGTTCAGAATCCTCACATTGCACCTACACAGAAAGTAAAGGTTAACTGAACCACTGTTATGGCAGCTTGAGCACAAAAAATGTTACTGCTAATATCTTGAATCTCAAATAACATATGCATCACAAGTAGAGTTATTGTATTACTTATTGAATTGATGCAAAGCTCACATTCCATCTCCTTGTTCTGGGTAAATTTATTATACCGCAGGTCATGCACCACTCAAGTTCACACCTTGTTAGCTACTAAAATATTTGTTCAGAAGGAAAACTCTCTCTCCTTTTGTGTAGCTTTATACATCCACTAACATCCACTTTTATTATTCTTAATACAAAACAAACCACTATTTTTTTTTCAAAAAAAATAAAGAAAAAGTAAATATAGAAGTGTATGCCAAGTCAACTGGATAGAGCATGGGTTATGCAAACTCAATCCACTGTAAGATACACATATACAGCAAGACCTAAAAGGATAATTAGAGGTTGTTTAGTGAAAATAAGTGACTGTAGAACCTTGATTTCCTGAGTTTAACATGGATAAGAGTCTTAACAGAAACATTTCAATAGATAAAGAAACCAGAAAAAAAAAATTGACTTAAAACTTTCTATGTTGAGTTAAGTGTTGAAATTAAAGCTGAATATGCTACCTGAATCAACCACCATTCAGAAGTCCTCAATATGGGACTACAAAATCAATATGGGATGATTTCAAACCTCAACTTAACCCAATAATATAAGTCACCATCTAGACTAGGAAACAAAAGTGGGGAATCGCATCCAAGCAACCACCACATGATACCTTCAATGGACTAAGGAGTGGTAGTGAACAACAGCATGGATGCCATTGAAATCATAACCTATATGCTATCCAAAAAAAGTGATTGCAAAACAAAATATGATGTATAAATATCCACAAATATGAGCATATAAAGCTTATGGGTCCATATCAAGAAGAAAACAGCAGGACCATCAGATAGAATTTTATAAATAATCCATTTATAGAGAGTGTCCCTTAAGGAAGCAGTGTTATGAATGTTTTTTTTTTTTTTTTGATAAATGAGAATAGTTTTATTAATTCAAAAAAATAGCAGTACATTCAGCCTAGGAAGAGGCATGAGGTGCTACCTTCCCCTAGGACTGAGTTATAAACACTAAACAAACACAAGCCTGAAGCACAGTTACAAAGTGGCCCAAAACAGATCTCCCCTTGACAACCCTTGTTTGGCCAGAGAATCAGCCATTGCATTTGTTGATCTGCTGACCCACTGAAACCTGACTGACATATTCCTTGTCAGCCATTTAACTTTCTTTAACAGATCCCTGTAGCCCCAACAAGCTGTATGATATGCTGATGAACAATCTTATCTCCAAATGTTGCCATAGGTCAAATAAAACGGGCAACTAAAGTGGAAAAGATTCCCAATCAATATATGAGACCTGTGATATTATTTCTTTGGACACCATAAACTTTCTGGGGGAGCTACCACTAGCTATGGTGATAACAATGAATGTAAAAACTTCCTAAAAAGCAAGATAGAAAATGGCAAGTCCATGATTCCATTGTTTAAGCAAGCAGTGCAATTTACAAGATTCTAAAGAATGGTTAAAATGTTTTGCCTTTTTTTTGTTTTTTGCTTTTATTTTCAATTCCTTGTATTATTCATTTAGTTTGAACTAGTACAATTAAGCACTAAAGAAAATTAAATGTGAATACATCATGAAAAAAGATTAAATAGTATTCAAACTTGACATAACATAATATAAATTGTAACAAGGATTTTGAGACTTACATATGTAATTTCAAAAAGTTCTGAATCTTTGTCTTTGGGCCGTACAAGACCTAAAGCTCTATGAAACACAATAGTGTGTAGAATACCTGCAATCATTTTTACATCAGCTGGCAGTTCAGGTAAACATGAGGGGAATAGGTGCAAGGCTAACACAAACACAAAAAATTAAGAGGAAAATGATTATTGATAAAAAAAGGTTAAAATGAAAGAGATGAAATGAGAGAAAAGATAAAGCACATTATATTAAGAAAAGCAAGATATGCACATGAAAAGGAATAAAATGTAATAAAGAAGGGGAAGACAGCCTTCTTTCCTATGAAAAGTTATGAAGATAAGGTGGCTATCACTATATAAAAAAGCCCTATTCACCACTGATCTAGTGAGTCCATTAGCAATTAAAGTTAAAATGTCTTAGAGTCAACATGGTTTGAAGTCATAATAAAGCTTTTAGTTCTTTTATTTCATTTGAGAAATGGCCCAGTCTCCAAGGTCCTGCTCCCATTTTTTAGCTCCACCTATTTGTGTTGATGGAGACCTTATAAAAATAGATGAGAAAACCTACACTGTTTAGTCATACTCAACAGTCAACACTGGGAGAAGAACCATGACCTTGGATTTGGTGGAATCATTATCCCAAATGACCAGATAATTGTTAAATTCCCAAAAGATATATCAATTCAATCTCAAACAGTGCCTCCAGCCCCTGCAGCCCGCAGGGCTTCAAGAAAGCAACCCCGAGAATTCCATAAAACTGAGGGCAAGGGAGGCCTTAGGAGCTGGAAAAAAATGATTTTTGGTAAGTATCTCCTTAGGTCATCCAGCAGGACACCATAGAGTTCCTTAGAAGCTAAGGTCCATGTATAGATGTTCCTTTTGTTTTCAAAGATTGGGGTGTTTCTTTTCTTGCTAGACTGCCCACATAACTGTATGTAAATTGCCTTCTAATAGATTTTCCATTTCTTTCCCAAACTGTAGCACTCATTTTCTTTTTGACCATTCCCAAACTTTGGCTTTTGAATAGGACGTGGCCAATACATGCTACTAAAAGAATGCTTGGAAATAAAGCAGGAAGCTCAGTCACATTCTAGTGGAGGTACAGTCAAGTCCTTGGTGTCTGGATTAGAAAATGATTGATATGGAATAACCAGTGCAGTTAAGATGAAAACTGAAAAGGTACGGAAATGATTAGAAGCCATTTATATAGACCCATGATGAGAACCGTGTAATGGACAAGCCAAGCACCACTCTGTACTTTTCCCTGTATTTAAACATACTGGACCCAGTATTTAAAATTCGAGAGGATTTGGGATATTAAGTTCCAGCACTTAGACAATGATCAAGAACTTAGTGTCATGATAGAATTGCTAAAAATATTAAAAAAAAAAAAAAAAGAAAACTTTCTGAGAAAGGAGAAAAATGCAATATCATGAATTGATGGATGAAAGGAATTCCATTTGTTAATGTGTTTTATTCAATTCCCTTCTCACTTAGCCTCCCACATATATCTGGAGGAACCTTTAGCACATAAAAGGAAAGTAATTTCAACAGGTAAAGTCATAGATTAAGCAAAGAAGCAAATTGTTTTCCCGAACTCGAGCATGTATAAGACTTACAGACAGAAGTGCATTGACAGAAACTAAATGTCCTTAAACACTCATCCATTGCATAACAGGAACGTGAACACAAAAAACAAAAACAAAAAACTAGTCCGTATTACATCAATCCGCATAATCACTGACTCCTAGGTCAAACTCCACCTAGTTCTGCGAAGAATTAGAAGTAACAAGGTATCTTACAGCGCAGCACTTCCCGTATCTCAGAATGCTCCTCCACTTCCTACAGTCACGTAAATACATAAAAACGTAATCAGGCAACAGCATCGTCAATCAGTAGAAACATTTAACTGAATGAACACCGGATAATATCAATATGCAGATTTAGCAATCTGAAATCTGAACTTCATACAATCAAAGAAGAATGATGAAGAACCAAAAAGAAAAAAAAAAAAACATGAAAACAAATTTTCATACGCAATAGTGGATATAATTGAAGTAAGATAATAAAAGCTTCAGAGCCTCACCAGTTCTTTAAGGTGACAGACCTCGCAGTTCATGATGTCGTGCACCGAATAAACCTGCAAAATCGAATCCAGTTGAAGAAATAACCCAAGAAAGGCAGCAGCAACTTACCAGATGAAGACATGAGAAGTCATGAAACCCTAAAAAATGATCGAGAAAATTGAGCTGAGGGAAGGAGCAATCAATGTTCCTTGTTCCGGTTGAGAAGAACTGGCCTGAGCCTCGAAGTCAATATCGGTCATGGAAAATAGTTCTCCAGCTGTGAATGATTTTTAAATTTTAATTGAACCATTGACATCAGATTTGAGTGTTGCGTAACGTGTCAGATCAGACCGCGGCAATTCATTATTCATTAATCTACGTCAACTCAAAGTATTCGTGTGTTCCTGACTTCCCTCTCGACCGAGAAGATATAAGCACTGTTCCCAATGGTACCCAGAAAATACAGATACAGGCCTACAGCCCAAGGTAGACCCGCCAATGATGGATAATCTCACGGCTCTGGGTCCTTAGGCTTCTTATTAACCTTTCTGATGAGAAGTTTCAATTCAACGGCTAGGATTGAAGCAGAGGATAAGATTGTTTTTGGTTTGAAGGTTTGTATAGGTTTCTCAATCTTTCCATTCTTTTCTCTACCTTTTCCTTCAAGCCAAACATAGCCTAAAAGAGAATTGTTTTTTTTTTGGAATTTTTAGCTTGCACTCCGCCTCAGAATTCAGATTTGAACTGCAAACCTAAAACAATTCAAATTTATGAACAATTCCACCTATAACACCCATACCAGCCCATGAATTGGCATCAATTCCGAACTGATACCTACCCCCAACTGTAAGAAATCAATTCAGTAGGAGTGTGCATTATCCTAATAAAGATACTATTGGTTAGCACCAAAATCCATCGCAATGAAATTTGTTTATTCTTAAAACATTTTTCATTTCTTGCAAAAGTGCAATAGAATATCAGCTTAATACCTCCGAAATTGTTTTTTTTTTTATCAGACAAGGAAGCAATTAAGCATTAATACAAGCCATCCAAGATCTCTGAAACAAGTTTTGCAAATTGATATTCCATAGAGCGGCAAAAAGAATAGCTTGAGCAAGGGGGCATTCAAAAATAGGTGATTATAACTGGAATAAAATCCTTAACGGCTCTCCACATAAACAATTGGTATCTAGAGGGTATAGGGAGCTTCCAAATCCATTTAATACACTTTTTTTTTATCATTATTAAGAATTGTAAGACCAAATTGTTGAAGTTGGGCATAAATTTGTTTGGCTGAAAATTTACCCAATGGATGATGAATCCAAATCCAAGCCAGAGTAGTTTCCTCAGGAAAAATTGGCGTATTTAAAATTTCAAAGACTTATTCCTAATTCAAATGAAGATTGAGAAATTGTTGATTCTAGGATTCAATAGAAATTATAGCTGAAATGGGAAGATTTTTGAAGACAAAAGACACATGTTGAGGTAGCATTCTGAAGCTATTATTTAATTTAATCAAAGGAACCTGGTCCAAAGGAATAGAAGAATCCTTATTAACTAGATAACCAATTTTTTTTTTACATATCTTGAAGTTTAGGAGCAGTTAGTTTCCCGAAAAAGGAAAACACATTGTTCTTTAGATATTTTGATTTCCACAATTGAGCCCATAGTTTGTTTTGCTTATTAATAAACCTCTAGGCTAACTTTTTAACAAGACTAAATTTACCAATTTCATATTCTTTAATCCCAAACCTCCATTGCTTTTAAGTTATGCAATTCTATGCCAAGCATATCACCAAAAAGGATTGGGATTAGACTCGGATTAATTGGCCCACCAAAAGTCTTTTATTGTTTTCTCAATTTCATTAAGAGTATTTTGAGGAAATTGAATGACACTCATGGAATGGAGAGGTATAAAATTGGAGAACTGATTGGATAAGAATATGTTTCCCTGGCTAACTGATTGCAGAAGCTTTCCACTTATTCAACTTGATTTTGATATTATCCAAAACATAGTTGAGATTGTAATGCTTATTTCTAGACCAACACAGAGGATTACCTAAATACTTGGATTGAGGATTTAGAGTATTGATTTGTAACAGATGTCCGATCATTCTTCGAGGTCTCAGGTGTATATTTTTACTGAAATAAATGCTTGATTTATCAAAGTTGATCAATTGACTAGAACAGCCTTGAAACTAGAGTAAAATATTTTTCAAATTATCAAGATCCTCTCAAATGAGCTCTGAGGAAAAGCATGATATTATCTGCAAAGAAAAGATGGGATATAGGAAGAGAGTTTGGGGAAATTTAAATTCCTTTTAAACTACCTTCCTGTTCAACTTTAAGAAGCATTCTCGAAAAGACCTTTCGTTGCAATAATAAAAAATATAAGGAGAGAGAGGATCTCCCTATCTTAGACCTTTAGTAGATGTAAAATGTCCTTAAGAAGTTTCATTGATTAAGACTGAGAAAGAGATAGACGAGATACATTGATGAATGATTCGACACAAATCCATAGAAAATCCTAAAGCTTGTAAGGTATTTAATAAGTAGGGCCATTCTAGTCTATCATAGGCTTTAGACATATCTATCTTCATAGAAACATAGCATGTACCCCTTTTCTGATGTTACAAAAAATGGAATATTTCATGAGTGATGATAGAATTATTCAGCATCTGATGGTCAAGAACAAAAGCAGTTTGGGTTGGGGCAATACATTTATCTAAAACAATATGGAGATGATTCGCTAAAATTTTTGCAAGGTTCTTATATAGGACATTAAAAAGACTAGTGGGTCTATAATCTTGAACTTTAGTACTAATACAGGCAAAGCTGACCACTAGTCAGAAACTGCCAAGTGGCAACATGCGAGAGGCAAAGTTGTTAACTGACCAAGCTCACCTAGGGCAGGCTGACCTGACTTAACTTGGGCGAGCTGATCTGACTTGGATGACCTGACCTAACTTGGCCGAACTAACCTGACCTGACTTGGCCGAGCTAACTTGATTTTGAAGAGTTGACATGGTACCATCTCATAGGGGCAGAGCTAAGGGGGACCCAGGGGAGCCATGGCCCCCCTATGGTCCAAAAATTCTCACTTTTGTACAGTATTCTATGAAAATTTCCCCCTTCCCCCCACTCCCTATCCCAATGGTTGCCCCCCATATGGGCCCATCCAAATTTATCCCCCCTCCCCCCCCCCATAAAAAATTCTTGGCTCCTCCCCTGCCATCTCATAACATGCACAAGCAACACATGGCCAAGTTGATCAAAGCATCAACACCAGCACATTACATGTTGGCTCATTGCCTATCACGTGCATACAACGTGTTAACAAGGGCATGACAAGTGGACTGAGCTCCAATCACGTGTAAGAGACGTGTTGGTTATTGGATGAAGCCACTCTCCAATAAATAGGTGAGCCCCTCATTCATTTGGACACAACATAATGATACATTACATTACTATGCACAAGACACACTGGATACCTTAACATACGTCTCACATCATCTCACAATCTCTCTAGCTTTCTCATTGAGCTCTCTAGCTCTCACTAAGCTCTCCAGCTCATATCACGGAGCTCCCCAACTCTCTCACTAAGCTGTCCAGCTCACAATTTCTTTCCATGGTGTTACTAAATTACCCGTCAAAGTCCATGCCCCTAGGATATCACCCTAGTGCCTTAAACGTCTCTTTTGGTTGCATGTCTCCCTTAGTAGGTAAGGTGCTGAGCCGAGGTGACACCGTATTCTAGCAAATTTTCATCTTCGCCATTGTTACCAATTTCAATGCTAACAAGTACATCAACTTCCTTATGCTTTGTTACCCAAGTACCTTAATCATTTTTTATTCCTTCTATAGAATTCCTTTTTTGCCTAAAATTAGTACTTTTAAGAAAACAATTGTTATTTCTATCTCCTAAATGCAACCACAATTGTCTGGGTTTTTGTCTCCAAAAACTTTCCACTTGGGTTGATATTTCCTCAAATTTTCTATAGAGATTATTAATACTACCATTATCCCATGGAGAAGATTGTTTTGCTAGAATAATTTGATTCTCCAAATCCTTAAGTCTCAAGTTGGGATCATTAAAATGGGATTTGTTCCATTTAATTAGATAACTTTTAACTAGATCCATCTTCAAGGCTAATCTATAAGTTGCATGCCCATTAATTTGGAGTCTCCAACCATCTTTAATAACCTTTTTACAATAATTATTGGACAACCACATTCCATAAAACCTAATCAGCTTTGGATATTGATACTTTATAAGATTAATATCAAGAATAAGAGGACGATGATCTAACCCCAAAGAGACTAAGGCTCTATCAAAGGTTCTTTTTAGGCAATGTTCAGTTGTCCTTTTATTGGATCTCGACAAACTATCACCTCTAATTCCAATTTCCAAGAGATAATTAAGATAAAAAATAAGATTTCTATATTTTCTTGAGGTGGATTTAGAAGAATATGATGAGGTATTCGGGTCTGGTATTTATATAGAAGCAGCTTTATTAAAACCACCCATTGATTTTAATTGGTGAACTAGGGGTATCCAAGCAAGGTCTTTTGCATTGAGTAGAAGAGGAAGAACTAAGGGTATCATGGAATAAAAGTCGATTTAGAGTAGATTGGATCTAAGGAGCCAATTGGTACATTTCCAGAGAGAATTTGCTAGAAGCATGATTAGGGTTAGACAAAGGTTTTGGGTTTGACTAAGGGGATAATACTAAAGCTAGAGTATTATTAGAATCATTTAGAAAATCATCTTGACATTGATAAGTTGATTCCTAGGATTGAGATATAGTGGAAGGTCACAGGTTCATTACGAAGGTGGACATACTCCCTAAATTGTGGGCATTTCCAAACACACCTCATGTTAAGTTCAGCTCAACCATGGACATGGAAGATTCATGCTTCTTTTATTAAAAAGTAATCAAATGGCCAACCATTGGTATGGGGAAGGGGGCGAGAACAACAACGAAAGAGATGACCAATTTTCCACAAAGATAACAAATCCAAGGAAGATCTTCATAACAAAACATGATCTAGTTTTGAATACTAAAGAAACAACCTATTTTATGGGGTTCCTCAACCGAGATATGGACTTTTGCTCAGATATAATTTTGAACTATAGAAAAGGAATGCGTAGGTCTGGTTCTCTCAAATATGGGTCAACCTATATCCTTAGAAAAACATCTCAAAAGGAAGGTCATGAAATTGCACCATATTTCTATCTCATGAAGGGTTCATTCATATTGGGGTCTCCCTGGAATCCAAGGTTTCAGAATGATTCATTAGCTATTTAACTATTAGGGCCCATTATCCCTAACCTAAATAAAATCATTTTCATATCTAAATCTAAGACGAAAGTGTCATCATTGGAAATGAGTAATTAGTAGGCTATTAGAACTTAGATTTCACAAGTTATAGAGACCTTGTTCTAATT